ATAGGAGAGTGGCTCGGTAGCCGGTCTAGAGACAGGTCTGTCTCCTGACCCCACACGCAGCCGAGGGGGCTAGTATGAGGCGGGAGACCCTAATTGATGATGATGAGGCTGATCGCACTTGGCAGCCCTCGTCGTCATCAGGCATATTGCTTTTCCGCAATTCATCAGGAGAAGAGGGTGGCAGCTTGGCAGCGAGCAAAAACAGTCGGTGGGTTGTCTCCATCGCGCTCAACTCTGCCATGTGCCACTCTTCAGGTCTCCTCACACACTGCTGGTGTGTATTCCATTTTTTGGTCATAGGGTGCTGGTGCAGATTACGCCATCCCTTAGCCCGCTGCCAGGGGCCCCTAAGTTCTGCCCATGGGCCCCTATACCGCCTCCTCATGCTGCTGCGAAGTCCAGAGTCTCATCATAGGGTCCCTTACGGCCGGTCCCAGTGCCGGCTGTCTCCAATCTGCCCACACTCTGCCCATGTGCCACTTTCATGGTCCTCCTCACACTGCTAGGCGTGTGTTAGAATTTTTTTGACATAGTGGTGCTGCCAGATTACGGGCCTCCCATAGCTGCTTGCAGGCCCCCTAATTCTATCTTCAATGGGCGCGCCTATAAAAAAACCGCCCTCCTCGATGCCTGCCTGCGAAGCGCTCCTAGAGTCTCTCAATGGGTTCCCTGTACGGCCTCTCAATTGCTGCGCTCGTCTCCAATCGCCACACTCTGCCAATGTGGCCACTTTCAGGTCTCCTCACAATCAGCTGCGTGCTTGGCGTGTTCAATTTTTTTGACATAGGGTGCTGGCACGATTACGGGCCTACTCCATAGCTGCTATGCAGTAGGCCCCTAATCTTGACATTGGGCCTCCTATTCCGCCTTCCTCATGCTGCTAGCGAAGTCCAGATTTCTCATGGGTTCCCTGTACGGCCTCCCATTGCTGCTGTCACTACCACATCCGCCACACTCTGCCATGTGCCACCGTTCAGGTCTCCTCACCACTGCTGGGTGTGTTACATTTTTTTGTCATAGGGTGCTGGCGGATTACGGGCCTCACAGAGCAGCTTGTCATGTGCCCTCAATAATCCCAGCCATGGGCCCTATTACGCTGCCTCCTCATGCTGCTCGCCAGGTCCACAGAAGTCTTCGCTTCGCCATGTGCCCGTTCAGGTCCTCCTCAGCAACTGCTGGTGTGTTCAATTTTTTTTTGTCATAGAAATGGGGTTGCTGGCAGATTCTTACGGGCCTCCCCATAAGCTGCGTGCCCAGGCCCCTTAATCTGCCATTGGGCCCCTATACCCCCGCCTATCCGCATGCGGCGCCAGGTCCAGAGTCTCTCATGCCATGTGCCACTTTCAGGTCTCCTCACAGCTGCTGGAGTGTGTTCAATTTCTTGACATAAGGGTGCTGGCAGATTACAGGCTGTCCCATAGCTGCTGCTGCCAGGCCCCTAGCTCTGCCCATGCTGCTGGGCCCCTATACCGCTTTCCTCCTCACATGCTGCTGCTGGCAAGTCCATAGCTGCCAGGCCTGTATGTCTTGCCTGGGCCCCTATACGGCTGCCTCCCATTGCTGCTGTCCCATTGCTGCTGTCCATCGCCACACTCTGCCTGTGCCACTTTCAGGTCTCCTCACACTGCTGGTGTGGTCAATTTTTTTGACATAGGGGTGCCTCGCGCAGATTACGCCTCCCATTGCTGCTGCCAGGCACGTAATCCTGCCATGGCCCTCCCCGTACCGACTCCTCATAGCTGTGACGTTGCAACAAGGTGGAATTCAACCCTACATATGTTAGAACCGCCTCTACGAACAGCGAAAGGCCATCACAGATTTCCTGATGTTAAAAAGCGGATAAAGGTACTCCCTGTTTTTTTTTTTTTGTGTAACTTAGATGTCAGCCATTGGCAGCTCATGCGTGACGCACACCTGCGCTTGCTCAGGCCCTTTGAGGAGGCCACGCTATTCGTGAGTCGGCAGGACTATGGGCTTGTATGAACGACGTCATTCCTCTGTTGCACGTCCTGGAACAAATGCTGTTAACAATGGCTGGTCAGGGTGCGGTAGAGTCGTGGCGCACAGATCTCAACGCCACATGACCCCTGTGGGGGGCAGGACAGGAAGAAGAGGAGGAGTAGAGGAGGACATTGGTGCTCTCAGAAATTATTGAGTGAAATGGGTGGTTTTTCCACTCAGCGGACAGGAGTGGAGAGGAGCAGGAGCATCTGGTAGAGGAGGGAGGGAGGAGACAGAGGACTGTCAGACGCACCGTGGCAGTATGCTGTGGAGATGGAGGCAGGGAGTCCCTCGCATTCTTGGCACAAATGGCCCATAGCATGCTCGCTTGCTTGCGTAGCGACAGTTTACTGCCTATCCGAATAATAACCATCAGACAGAGGGATGACTTTTGGATGTGTCCACCTTGTTGGACCCTCGCTACCGTTCAAAAATGGTGCCTTTTTCACACCTGCTGAGAGGGAGGCAAAAAATAACGTACTATAAAAACCACCTATGTAGTCAGCTGGTCTCTGCCTTTCTGCGCCAACGTCCATCCTCAAGACACTGTGGGCCTGTGCGCTCGCGTTCCGCTGCCATGGCAGCAGGGGAGGGGTGGGGTGGGTAGGAGCAGTGGCAGCTCCACCAGCAGCGGCTGCCTCTCAGTCTGCAGTCGATGATGAGTAGCTTTCTTCACCAGCGCAGTGAGGAAACTACTAACCAGCCGCAGCAGCAGCAGCATCAGGTGGACCTGGAGCAGGACACTGCAAACAACAGGCTTAGGCCTACTTGGACAGCACCCTGCCAACCGAGGTAGACAATCCCCTTGACTACTGGGCAACGAAACTTGACCTTTGGCCCCAACTAGCTGAATTTTGCCCTTGAAAGGCTGTCAATGCCGTGCCCAGTAGCGTGGCATCGGGAGCGCGTGTGTTTAGTGCGGCAGGAGGTATTGTAACTCCGCAAAGGACACGACTGTCCACCCAAAGTGTGGAGAGACTCACGTTTGTGTGAAATGAATCAGGCGTGGATTAGTCTGGATTTCAAACCACCAGTTCCTGACACAACTGACTAAATCCGCCATGAATCATGCCCCAAACAATGTGCCACTTTCAGGTCTCCTCAACATGCTGGTGTGTTCCATTTTTTGTCATAGGGTGCTGGCAGATTACGGGCCTCCCATAGCTGCTGCCAGGCCCCTAATCTGCCATGGGCCCCTATAACCGCCTCCTCATGCTGCTGCCAGGTCCAGAGTCTCTCATGGGTCCCTGTACGGCCTCCCATTGCTGCTGTCTCCATCGCCACACTCTGCCATGTGCCACTTTCAGGTCTCCTCACACACTGCTGGTGTGTTCAATTTTTTGTCATAGGGTGCTGGCAGATTACGGGCCTCCTATAGCTGCTGCCAGGCCCCTAATCTGCCATGGGCCCCTATACCGCCTCCTCATGCTGCTGCCAGGTCCAGAGTCTCTCATGGGTCCCCTGTACGGCCTCCCATTGCTGCTGTCCTCCATCGCCACACTCTGCCATGTGCCACTTTCAGGTCTCCTCACACAACTGCTGGTGTGTTCAATTTTTTGTCATAGGGTGCTGGCAGATTACGGGCCTCCTATAGCTGCTGCCAGGCCCCTAATCTGCCATGGGCCCCTATACCCGCCTCCTCATGCTGGCTGCCAGGTCCACAGTCTTCATGGGTCCCTGTACGGCCTCCCATTGCTGCTGTCTCCATCGCCACACTCTGCCATGTGCCACTTTCAGGTCTCCTCACACACTGCTGGTGTGTTCCATTTTTTGTCATAGGGTGCTGGACAGATTACGGGCCTCCCATTGCTGCTGCCAGGCCTGTAATCTGCCATGGGCCCCCGTACGCCTGGTCACGCTGCTGCTGGGTCCACAGTGTGACATGGGTCCCTGTACCGCTCCCATTGCTCCCACTCTGCCATGTGCCACTTTCAGGTCTCCTCACACTCCTGCTGGTTTCCTTTTTGTCATAGGGTGCTGACAGATTACGGGCCTCCCATAGGTGCTGCCAGGCCCCAAATCTGTGCTGGGTCCACAGTGTGACATGGGTCCCTGTACCGCCTCCCATTGCTCCCACTCTGCCATGTGCCACTTTGAGGTCTCCTCACACTCCTGCTGGTTTCCATTTTGTCATAGGTTGCTGTATGGCCTCCCATTGCTGCTGCCTCCACCGCCACACTGTGCCTCCAAACACTGGTTTTTGGCCCGTGACTGGGCCAATGAATGAGTGAAGTGTGCGGTGATTCTAAGATCGACGGCACTCATCTGCATGTCATACTGACTGACAGTATTATTTCTCTTCCCCAGCAGACTCCAAGGGCATTTAAATTAAAGGTACAGTGTTCTGCACTAATATTAAGTCTCTCTGAAGCCTAGAAACACCCTTTTTTAAGTTAAATTCACAGCGAATTTATTCGACTCGAATCGAATATTGTCCACGAATTCGCCAAATCAGTCGAATCAAATTTTTCATTTCTTCGCTCATCTCTATTAATAATATAACCTAAATCAGCCTTTCTCAACCAGGGTGCCCAGGCACCCTAGGGTGCCTTGAGGTTTCTTCAGGGGTGCCTTGGCAAAATTTCTAAAAAGTGCCCAAAACCTGTATACAAGCCAACGGGTGGGAACAAGCTTGCCTTTTAGTTATGCAAAGCCACAGGTTGTCATTGTGCACCATTACATCCTTCTAGCCGCCAGCGTCCTGACAACCAATGACATGAGTTGATAAGGAGGAAGTCAATTGCCTGCACAGCATCCTAGTTTGATCCTCCTCCTCCCCTTTCCATCAGTCCTGGGAGCACATTAGCTCAGTGATGAAGAAAAACTGAGGGAGAAGAGAAACATTGGAATACTAGTCTGTACCAGTGTGCAAAAGTGCTTTGGAAGAATAAATTGCCTCTAATGTTGGGTGTCCTACATGTGTCAATGTTGCTGCGTTATATAAAACTATTTAGAATAACTTTTCACATTTAAGAATGGGGTGCCTCAAGACTGTCCATAATTTTAAAGAGTGCCTCAAGACTATCCATAATTTTAAAGGGTGTCTCAAGACTGTCCATAATTTTAAAGGGTGCCTCAAGACTGTCCATAATTTTAAATGGTGCCTCGGGACTGTCCATCATTTTAAAGGGTGTCTCGGGACTATCCATCATTTTAAAGGGTGCCTCAAGACTGGCTATCATTATAAAGGGTGCCTCGGGACTATCCATCATTTTAAAGGGTGTCTCAAAACTGTCCATCATTTTAAAGGGTGCCCCGGGACTGTCCATCATTTTAAAGGGTGTCTCAGGACTATCCATCATTTTAAAGGGTGCCTCGGGACTGTCCATTTTAAAGGGTGCCTTGACTGAAAAAAGTTTGAGAAACACTGGCCGAGATTACAAGATCTTCAGTCTTTACTCAAATTAGTTGAAGCAAAAATGAATCCACCACAAAACAGAAACTCCTCCATTTAGTATTTTGTATGACCTCCATGATATGTCTTCTAGGCATGGAATGAAGTTGGTGACATATTGCAACATCGATCTTTTTCCATTCTTCAAGAAAGACCTCTTTTAGAGCCTGGATGCTGGATGGAGAGTGATGCTCAACTCATCTCTTCAGAATTCCCCATAGGTGTTGGATTGGGTTCAGATCAGGAGACATACTTGGCCACTAAATCCCTTTCACCCAGTTCTTCTTCAGAAATGCAACAGTGGTCCAAGATGTGTGTTTTGGATCATTGTCATGCTGGAAAAGTGCACGATGACCAATGGCACGGAGTGATGGGAGCATCTTCTCTTCCAATATAGAGCAGTACATCTGTGAATTCATGACACCATCAATGAAATGCAGCTCCCCGATACCAGCAGCCCCACAGAAGGACACTGTCACCACCATGTTTCACAGTAGGCACCGTGTATTTTTCTCTATACTCCTCACCTTTGCGATGCCACACCGTTTTGAAGCCATCAGTTCCAAACACATTTATCTTGGTCTCATCACTCCAGAGTACAGAGTCCCAGTAGTTGTCTTATTTTTCAGCATGGGCCCTAGCAAATATTAGGCTGTTTTTTTTGTGAATGGGCTTTAGGAGAGGCTTCATTCGTGGCCGACACCCATGCATACCATTTTTCTGCACTGTACGCCGTATTGTGTCACAGGAAACAATCACCCCAGTTTGGCTTTCTACTTCTTTAGCTAACTGCAGTGAACTTGCATGGCGATTTTCTTCAACCCTACTCATCAGAAGATGCTCTCGTCAAGGTGTTAACTTCCATGGACGGCCTGAACATCTCTGTGAGATGGTTGCAGTTCCATCTTTGTTACATTTTTGAGTCACTTTTGCTACAGTATTCTGACTGATAAATAAAGCTTTTCTGATCTTCTTGTAGCCTTCACCTTTCTTGTGTAAAGAAATGATTTAATGAATAATTAGACTCACTCGAACTTGAATTCTTTTTAATTAGGATTTTGTTGTCTAAAATTTAGCTTTTCTCCTAAGACTTTCAATGCGGTGTATTCATTTTTGCAACATAGCCTTGAATGAATTTGTTAGGAAAAATACTTTTTTGTGTGTGCAAATGACCAAATCTTGTTTGCAATCAATGAGCCGCATTTGTGGAAGTATTTTGTAGCTCAGTGTCCCATAGAAAATGTGGATTCTGAAAAGTTAGTGAAGGTTTTCTGACAAATCTGTTGGGGTGTACTCATTAATGCTGAGCACTGTGTATGCATTATACTGGAGGGAATAGGCTTCATCCTTAGCAACTGAAAAGGAACATGGTCCAAGGTGGACCAATATAATTATGCAGAAATAGCCAGGCCCGGAATTCAGCTTTAAAATGCTTGCAAAGGCTCCATGCAGTAATATACCGCTCAGTAAAATTGTCCCTGTTCGAAGTTCGCGGTTGAAATTTCAGTAGGCTTGAAGGTTCAACTGAGAACCGAACAGGGGGGGTTCAGCCCATCACTATTAGCACAGTTTCTGATGGGCTTTTTTCATACATTTGTTTTCTTTTATTTAACTTTGCACTAGCACTTTATGTAATATGAATTTCACATATTAGTTTTTATTTCTCACATTTGCAGAAGGATATGAATTTGCTTATTAATGAATTCCGACTTGCATTTAGCTCTTGGTTGGTTGCGGTTGTTTAAGTCCATAGGGTTCAATATTGAGTTGGCCCCGCCCTTTCCAGGCACATGACATTTAATGACCCCCCCAGTCTTAGTCCGTAGGGTTCAATATTGAGTTGGCCCCGCCCTTTGCAGCTATAACAGCTTCAACTCTTCTGGGAAGGCCGTCCACAAGGTTTAGGAGGGTGTCTATGGGAAGGTTGGACCATTCTTCCAGAAGCACATTTGTCAGGTCAGGCACTGATGTCGGGGGAGGAGGCCTGGCTCGCAGTCTCCGCTCTAATTCATCCCAAAGGTGTTCTATGGGGTTGAGGTCAGGACTCTGTGCAGGACAGTCAAGTTCCTCCACCCCAAACTGGCTCCTCCATGTCTTTATGGACCTTGCTTTGTGCACTGGTGAGCAGTCATGTTGGAACAGGAAGGGGCCATCCCCAAACTCTTCCCACAAAGTTGGGAGCATGAAATTGTCCAAAATGTCTTGGTATGTTGATGCCTTAAGAGTCCATTCACACTTGACTAATTTTTAACGCTTGCCAAACGCCCCTATAGCATTTGACAGGCGTTAGATAGGCATTTTGGGAAGCATTTTTATTGCTTCTCAAATGCTCCCCAAAACACCCTATGTGCATTTTTTGTGGTGTTTGATAGGCGTTTGCCAAGCGTTAAAACTGAACCACCAATGCCTATAATGAAGTTTAATGGTATTAACGCTCCGCAAACGCTTCGCAAACGCTTCGCAAAACCTGCCAGGTGTTTGAGGAGCGTCACCATAGACTTGAATGGGAGGCTTCAACGCCTCCTGACTCTACATGAGGAGTCAATTTTGCCGTGCCGTGACGCTAATGCTTCAGTGTAAACAGCACTTTGTGCTGTCATGTGCAGAATTTTTATAGGCATTTGTGGAGCGTTAAAAACGCTTCCCAAACTCCTGTCTAACGCCTAATAACAAAGCTAGTGTGAACGTAGCCTTAGAGTTCCCTTCACTGGAACTAGGGGGCCAAGCCCAACACCTGAACATCCCCACACCATAATCGCCCCTCCACCAAACTTTACACTTGGCACAATGCAGTCAGGCAAGTACCGTTCTCATGGCAACCGCCAAACCCAGACACGTCCATAAGATTGCCAGACAGAGAAGAGTGATTTGTCACTCCAGAGAACACGTCTCCCCGCTCTAGAGTCCAGTGGCAGCGTGCTTTACACCACGGCATCCGACGCTTTGCATTGCACTTGGTGATGGAAGGCTTGGATGCAGCTGCTCGGCCATGGAAACCCATTCCATGAAGCTCTCTACCCACTGTTGTTGGGCTCATCTGAAGGTCACACCAAGTTTGGAGGTCTTTAGCTATTGACTCTGCAGACAGTTGGCGACTTCTGCGCACTGTGCGCTTCAGCATGCGCTGACCCCGCCCTGTCATGTGACGTGGCCTACCACTTGGTGGCTGAGTGGCTGTTGTTCCCAGTGGCTTCCACTTTGTTATAATCCTACTAACAGTTGAGCGTGGAATATTTAGTAGCCAGGAAATGTCACGGATGGACTTATTACACAGGTGACAACCTATCACGGGACCACGCTTGGAGTCACTGAGCTCCTGAGAGTGACCCATTCTTTCACCAATGTTTGTAGAAGCCATCTGCATGCCTAGTTGATGATTTTATACACCTGTGGTCATAGAGGGGATTGGAACACCTGAATCACATGATTTGGAGGGCTGGACCAATACTTTTGGCAATATAGTGTATATGTAAGGGTTTACAACCATTTTAATGTGATATTAAAAGCAATTTAAAAAGAAAAAAAAATTATACTTTCCTGCTCTGTGCAGTGGTTTAGCACAGAGCAGCCCTGAAACTCCTCTTCACTTTCAATAAATTTTGTATTGAATTAAATTTGTAAAAAGATACATTGGTTACCATTGTCATGTACACTGATAAAAGCATGAAGTCAAAGACTTATGAGTCAAGAGCGTTAATACATCACGGATGTTCATAAACTGTGAAAAGCCAGAAAACATTTGTCTGAACCTCACCTTCCCCCACTGGTGCTCTTGGCCCCTCCTCCCTGCCAAGTGAATGGAAATGCAGAGCAGTGGCTCTGGAGCAGAACTGCTTGGGTGCCGCCAGAGCAAGTTGTTTGCTCTGGGAGCACCCAAGCATTTCTGCTCCCGAGCCACTGCTCTGCATGTCTATTCACAAAACAGCCCCGTCCCTTCTCTCTCCTCATTGGCCCACTGGCTGTGATTGACAGTATTGGGAGCAAATGGGTCCTGCTGCTATCTCAGCCAAAGAGAAGGGAGAGTCCTCGGAGAGCCGAAGCGATGGGGTTCAGGTAACAAAAGCATTTCCTAGCTCCAGAAAGTGATTCATGCAGATAGCAGAGGAAGGAGAGGAGAAAGCAGGCAGAAATCATACTAGGTGCTTTGGATTGAGTACACACTCTAGAAGGATATGCTTTGTTCATTTTTCATTTCATAGACAAGGAAAGTAAAAAAAAATAATTCTGAGGTTTAAAAAGGTTCTGGCTTTATTTACACTTCTAGGGTTATGGATGGATTTGAGGATAGCCTGATTCAGACTCTACTTATAGGGGATCATGGGCCCCTGTGTCCTTGCCCAAACTCAAAAAAGCCTATGAAAAAGGTACCAGGGGCATCTCATGGGGCCCTCTACTGACCCCGGGCCCTCAGGCAGTGCCCGAGTTTCCAAATGGGTCAGTTTGCCCCTTTGTCTGACTCTTGTTCCCGGGAATGTCTGGGGAGCTGTGAGTGTCTTATCTCTTGCCGGGGTGGGGGTTGCCAATGTATGGGGGGTGGCGGTAGTGGCAGGCTCTCTTGGGTGGGGGGTTGGGGTGTTGTTGGTCAATGTCAGGCTCTCTTCCTGGGGGAGAGAGGTGTTGGTCGTTGGTCAGTGTCATGGTCCCTCCGTGGGGGGGGAGCCAATTTTCATGTTGCCTAGGGCAGCATGAAACCTAAATACACCACTGCAGACAGCCCCACGCCAAGAATCCTGTGCGGAGCGGAGCCGCGTGTATCTCAGATGAAGGAAAAAGAATAGAGAATTATGCAGATAAAAAATCCAAGAAAAGCAAATTTTTTTTTTTTAAATAAAGTGAATCCAGTAAAAGCTGCTGGAAGTTGTTCACAAATCCCCCCCCCTCCCCCCGAACAAAGTCAACCGGAGTCGAGTCTCCGCCGTTCTCCTCCTCGCTGTC